CCCAGATATAAATATCGCTGTGAGGATAGCCACCACATTGTAGGATATGGACACGACTACCCATGCGAGCTGCGGAGAAATTACTTTTTTTAATCTTACTAGTATTGTTAAAGCGAATGTTTTGATGAATGTTTGTTAAAAGGTATTACATATCCAGACCAGCTGTACGGATCTCGCTGAAATTTGACATAGATATAGAACATAGTCTGGTAGGACACATAGGTTACTAATTTAGTTTTCTTTTTAATTCCTCGCGAAATTAGGAATTATTGAAGCAATCTTGCATACAGGATGTTCAGTTGTTCATTATTCGTTAGTGAAATTGAACGAAAGGGTGAAATTATGCCAAAAAATGTACGCGTAAATATTATATTTTTATCTGTTTGAAAATAATTATTTTATTGACCAAGCTATAGAACTATTACGTAAGAATATGTCGCGGAAACGTGCGCGTTATTTAAAAGACACTATAATTAATTCATTTAAACTAAGATAATAAATTAATCTCCATTTACAACTACAGATAGACCCATTCTTATTTACATATATATCTTAACACAATGTATTGTCGTACATATCAACTCTTTGATGCTATTAGAGAACATAGATGATAAGTTTAACATTAATATAAAGGTACGCGTACATTACACGCACCGCACGGCTCGCAACTAGCGTTACCAGGCGTCCGGATAAAGCCGGACGTAAGGTTTTTTGATTGCGCGTCCGGCCAAAATAAACGGTGACCGGGTATTCGGGTTTTGTTAGGCTTTTTGCATTATGCAAAGGTGAGTGGTTTCAATGATATAGGGTGTCCGGCATTTCTGCCAAAATTTCCGGCCAAACTGGCTGATCTGTCTGGTCATTAGGGTTGGCGATTTCGCAACCTTACCCGCAACGGATTTTAGTATGCTTTGTATGATTTTACATAACCCTGCGTTATCCGCATCGCCCGGCCCGAAAGATATATCAACAAGCAATCCGTTGCGGGCCGTATATGCGTATAACGCGGGCCAATGGACACGTGCCTTAAGTACAACATGGAATTTTATGTTAATAACATAACTGTATGCAATTATATTAGTATTCAAAAGATAAAGTGTACGATATCATAATTTTTATGACAAAATAACACTGCTTAAAAGAGTCAAAGCAAAAAGTAAAAAAAAAAACTTACCACTTGAGATAAGGCGAACAACATACAAGAATACTTTCTACCCAAAGTATCAAGAAGATAACCAGAAAATGGTGTACTGATTAACGCACTGATAGAAGATAAACTGCCCAAGAGTGCAACTTCAGTTTCTGTCATAGGACGGTCTAGAGTTGTGTTCGCAGAAGAGAAGAGAACAAGAGTGGATGACGGCCATGTGTACATCACACCGAGCAAAGCACAGAGGTAGCTCACTGTTGAAAAAACACATAAAGTAAGAATATTAAAAATAAAAAGTTAAAGAGAACTAATGGTATTGTGTGTCATGTTTTCCCACTCAAATTCACAAAGAAACATAGGTATTCGTTTTGTAAGTCTATATATGGGAACACAGATGTATCATCAGTTAAGTAGCCATCCTTTTCTCGTAAATTTACATTTACAACTAAAATGAAGTTTTATAAAATGAAGAATCTCAATTGACGTTACCCCAGAAAAAAAAACTCTGGGAAAAAATAGATATACTGTTAGGAAGAAAATCTGACAGTGTGCCAGTGTACTGGCAACACTAGCCTTACTAAAATGTCGACGTTTATCACCTCACTAATAAATCTGACACTTGATTTGGTCACGAAAGCGCGCCATTTGCGCCAAATTCTAATTAATGTCATTAAATACATACAAACAACACATGCACGTTCGAATGAACGTCCAAGAACATTACCCTCATAATAGACACAACACAATAACAAAATCTTTACCAATAGCAGTAGATATTGCTTGTTTTATCACAGCCATGATTTTTTTATTTTTAATCTTTTTCTCTACACATTTATTATAACTTTAATACTATTTTAACAATCCGAACAGTCAGTATTCTCTTCAGTTCATCTCATTGCAATACTAAGATAGATTTAATCTCTAGCAATTATATAGAACATCTTTAACAAACAGAAATTAAATTCTGCGATTAAAAGCTAAATAAGATTAAGAATGTGCACAGTAATGTTGTAGCTATATTTTACAATCGTATAAATTCAAGAGATAAAAAAATTAAAATTTATAAACTAGCCGTCGCCCGCGACTCCGTACGCGTCATCATCATCATAATCAGCCTAAATTTGTCCACTGCTGGACGTAGGCCTCCCCCATCGATTGCCACAATGCCCGGTCCTGTGCCGCCCGCATTCAGTACTCTCCCGCAACCTTGACCAGGTCATCGGTCCATCGTGCGGGAGGCCTACCTACGCTGCGTCGACCCGTCCGCGGCCGCCACTCAAGGACTTTTCGGCCCCATCGGCCGTCCGTACGCGTGGAATGAAAAAATAATTAGTTCCTGGCAATTATTCGATTTTTTCTCAACTTTTAAAACTTCCCAAGACCTCCGCGGACATTTCAAGACCAAGATAAGATAAATCCGTTCAGCCGTTCTGGAGTTTTAGCGAGACAAACGAACAGCAATTGATTTTTATATATAGAAGATAGGCGATGGAAATAAATTATTTTAACCATGAGAAAAATTGGATTTATTTTCCAGTAAAGACAAATATTTGGAAGAGCCCTTCACTTGAGAGAAGTCCGTGCATATGTAGGTACGTCAATAGTATTGAGGCTCAATTGATTAAATAAAAGAATGTCATTGGTACAAAACGGTACATGAACATAGATTTGACTAGACGTCAATGGAAGGAATGCTTGGTTGAAAAGGGTGCGCTTTTTTTTCTTTTTATCTATTTTCTGTAATATTTCAAAGAAAGATAATATTGTTATAAAAATTATTTAGTGTATGGATGGAATATAAAGGTGTTTTAGTTGAAAAATTTATGATCATAGATTCGAACCCACGATTACATCTTTGCAGTCCTTCTACTTAACCGTTATGTCATTAGCGCTTTAACTACTTTAGAAAATTGTACAGCTTTTTTTTACAAGTATTTGTTATCGCTTCGCAATCACTGGTTACAAACCTTAAACTAGAAAACACTTTAATTAGGATTACTCGGTTTTTGACTTGTCATTTTACAATGTCTTTAATCTCGAAAACGTTATTCTTTGTTAATAACCAAAGTCTTAGCGTTTAACTCGTTGATTTTCTAAATTACTAAGATAATGGAAAAATTAACATTTTAAATGCGAAAGTTTGTTTGGATGGATGTTTATTAGAAGGTTTCTCCAGAAAGGCTGCATGAATCTTGCTTAAGTTTGGCATAGACATAGAACATAGTCTGGAGAAACACATAGGCTAATAATTTTTTTTTTAATTCCGCTCTGAAGGAGGTGTTTGTTCTCTGTGTTATATTAATTATTCTTTTATTTCTTTATTATCTCAGAAATGGTTTTTTTTTTGGTAATTTTTTGATTTACAACTCTGTTAAAGTAATTTTTTTGACTAAACTTCCTTATGCAAAAACCCTTCGTTGGAAGACTTAAATATTTTTATCATCATGTCTACCAATTATCACCTATATACTAAATGAATTTCGCTTAATTTGTCTGTTCTATATCTTTGTTAATGACATAACTTAGATAAGAAGATGCGGAATTAATCTGAAACTACACAAAACTACGGAGTACCGCCATAAAGATATTCGCGGGAATTCCATGCGCGGAAAAACTGTTACGATTTGTTTGTTGTCTTTTTTAACACACCCTATTGTCCTATTTCTTATTATTTGATACTTTTGACAATAAAAATAATATTTTTTTTTAATTTTATTAATATAGGTAAATTTTTGTCTATACTAATTAAAAAATAAGGATTTGTTTGTTTGTATCGAATAGACTCCGAAACTACTGAACCGATTTGAAAAATTCTGTCACTGTTGGGAAGCTAAACTACTCTCAGATGACATAGGCACCAGACATATAATACTATTATAATTATTTTGTGTATTTTTATTATTATTATTATTTTGATTCTGCGCTGACGGTGTCGCGCGTGACAATTATTTTTAATAAACTCAAAAACTACTCAATATATTTCCTCGATAACTATACAACGTTAAATAAATCTGGTATTTAATAGTGGGAGCAAATCAAACTTCCCACAAGCTTGATTTTGTATAAGGGTACCACAGAGCCAATCATCGTGGCGATCTTTGGGGGTGGTGTATGCCCAGCAGACGTCATATGTATGAAAAGAACCTAATTGACTACCCCTATTAGTAAGTATCCTGACATCTGTATAGGATATAACAGTGGTAGAGTCCGCTTTAACATCTTCGCACGAATCGGCCCGGCTCGCCCGGTGAAATACCACGACCACACAGAAGACAGGCGTCAAGTGGAAACAATTCCGCGTTTCGTCTGATGAGTGTGCGTCCCGGACGCCAAAATTAGTCCTCTTTCCCTTCCCACCCTTTTTCTTATAAGGAAAGGATGGGAAGTGGAAGTGGACTTTCCGGATGAGAGGATGCATGGAAAGGGAATATATTTTCTTTCTGTCCATTCCCTCCCCCGTCCATTAAAGGTAGGCAACGCATATGCAATTGCGTATGTCTATGGGCAACGGTCACTTCGCTATATCAGCGATTTCAGGTGGCCGCTCGCTCGTTTGCCACCTTGTGATATAAAAAAATATCTTAAAAATATTAAGAAATTTCACTTAATGATGTCTGATTGAATATAATTTTTACACAAGCATACAAAGAAGTATTGCTATCTCGAGAGTTTTCTTTCGAGAGAATGAAAGACACGTTTTGCGACACGTAAATATTACGAAGAAAACAAACGAACGTCTTTATTTGGGTGTAATTCGGAATAACTTTTTCCGTCTTTGTTTGAATATGATTTGATTATAATCTTCGTATAACACTGTTTGTCAAACAACAAGCTGATATTAAAATAAACGAGAAAGAAACTATGCGTCTCTTTAACTAGATTAGCTCCGTGGTCGACAGTTGAGTGATTTGTGTTAAATTTTTGTTTCACAATTAAAATGACGATTTTCTATCAAGTTGCAGCAACGGGCGTTGGTATGAATTTTTACGTAACAATTTCAAACAAATAAATCGATCCAGAAGCGTCAACCTAACGGTTAAGGGTACGGATTTCCGATCACGAGGTCGGTGGTTCGAATCCATTCGACTATTGTCGTTGACTATATTCTAGCAAAAGTATAAAGCTTAGTTGGAATGGTACAAAAAAATCTGATAATTTAATTTAAAAATTGGATGATGGGATAAAGATTGGAAGATGACTACCATGTTAATAAAATCGTTTAAATCTTTTTAATGAGTACTACATATAAATGACAAAATTTGGTAGTTCGCTTTATCCTGACAAACTTTAAAACTATTAAACTGATTTTAAATCTTATCACCAATAGAAACTTTTTCCAATTGGTTAATAAAGCTTATCATTCTAATATTATAAAGAAGAAAGATTTGATTGTTTGTATTGAATAGACTCCGAAACTACTGAACCGAATTGAAAATTACTTTCACTGTTGATAAGCTACACTATCCCCCGGGTGACATAAGCTATATTTATTATATTACAGTGAGCTATCTCTGTCTATCAATGGGTATCATGTACACGTGGCCATCATCTACGCTTGTTCTCTTCTCTTCTGAGAACACGACACTGAACAGGCCGATGACAGAGACAGAGATATCACTCCTCGGAAGCCTCTCGTCTATCAGCGCGCTGGTCAGCACACCATTCTCGAGTTACATCCTCGATACGATAGGCAGGAAATATTGCTGTCTTATATTTTCATTGCTTCAAGTTGTAAGTAATAATTTTAATCATTACCAGTTTGTTTCTATAATAAATCTAGCAATCGCGATTCCGCGCGAAATTAAATAAAATAGTAGCCTATGTGTTCTACCACACTATTTTTTACATATATGCCAAATTTAAGCGAGATCCATGCAGCCGTTCTGGAGATATCTTCTAAAAACATCTATCCATTGAAACATTCGCATTTATATTAGTAGTAAGAAGTAAGATAAATTATATTATACTTCGTGTCACTCGCTAATAAAAGATCTTTCTTATAGTGAAAACATTTTTAAAATCGGTAAGTAGTTTTTGAGTTTATCGGGAACAGACGAAATATAGTATCGGCGTATTTTCTTATATGTCAGTTCTGTAGTGAGCTGCAGCTAAAGGATTATTTCTGTACTAAAGTTTAATGGATAACGATGAAATTTGGCACAGTTGTAGAACATAATCAAGAAGAACACATAGGCTACTGATTTTTCTAATTCCGGGCAGACGGAATCGCGAGCGACAGATAACTATGCAATGAATAACAAATTATTCCTTACAGATATCATGGCTACTCGTATCATTCTTTTACACCGTTGAAGTGGTTCTAACATCTGTGGTACTATCAGGTTTCTGTTGTTGTGCGACATTAGCTGTACCCATCTACGTCAATGAAATCTGCCAAGATTCGATACGAGGAAGCATGTGTTCCGGTGCTATGGTCTTCTATGGCATGGGAATGCTGGTCTCTTACCTAATGGGGGGTTACATGAGTTACGATGCTATGAACTACGCTTGTTTGGCTATAACTATACTTGGCGTTGTTCTACTTTTGCTGTTAAAGGATTCGCCTACTTATTTAATGAGTAAAGGACGCGAAAAGGTAATATTCGTTTTGTATCTACAGTTGACAGGACTAAGCTATTAAATGAAGGGTCCTACGCATATACTTGTAACTCCGTTTTTGAGTAAATTTATCTTTTAATAAAAATATTATAAATGCGAATGCTTGGATAGATTGATGCATGGATGTTTGAATGCATCTCGATAACGGCTGTATAGATCTCGCTGAAATTTGGCACAGATGTAGAACATAGTCTGGAAGAGCACTTAGGCTACTTATTAAATTTATTTTTTTAATTTTGAGAGGACAGAGTCGCGGGCAAAAGCTAGTCTGTCAATAAGATATTTATATTATACAACTGAAAATTTGAATTATTTAAACGAAATATTACATTAAAACAGGCGTACTTCAATATTATTTATAAACACTGAAATGTGTCTTTTGAAAAACTGCTTTTTTTGTGTTACAACTTTACACGTGGGTCCATTGAGATATAATTACTTTCATGACCTAAGGAAGATTCAGATCAAATGACACCTTAATTATCAAAATCTATGCAACTTGTTTAGGCTACAAATCACATATACACGAAAAAGGAATTATCAAGCTTATGAGAACATTAATACGCGTGCCTAAAAACATAGATAATGATGATTATCTTTGTTTTATAAAGGCTTATGAAGAAAAAAAAAGAGCGTCAACCTGTCGCCGGCCAGATATAAGTAACATAAATTAACAGCGCTATATAGTCTGTGCCAAATCAAATGGTACATGCTAACAACTGCTTGAATGGGCCTCGTCCGGTGCATCACTATCACACAGAAGACACGCCTTAAATACGACGTCATTCCAAGTACAGTCAAATGAGTGGTGCACCGGAGAGATAACTTTACTCTTCATTCCCTTCTACCCTTTTCTTATAAGGATGGGAAGGGGTAGATTAGACGGATGAGGGGATTTTTATTTTATTTTATTTGGAACAACTAACGACTACATAATGTATATACATCAATATAATGTATAAAAAAGACTAAGTAATTAAGTACCCAACACAGTTGTTCGTAATTTTAGTAAAGAAAAGAAAGGAAAGAAAACAGTAATAAAACTATTCATACAGTTAAACAAATCAGTTCACAAAGGAAATAATAATAGTTTCAAACTCTACTGGGGCCACCCGCACCGCGTCAGTTAAGGGATGCATAAGAAGAGAAAATATTCTCTTTCTTTACATCCCTTTCTCCGTCAGGTCCGTAAGCAATGCATCTGCAATTGCGCATGTTTACGAGCAGCAGTCAAATAACTACCACTATGGCGAATACCACGCAATAATATATTTAAAACAACGAGGAGATCTTAGATTTACTTTCTCCTAGTTATAATTTTTTTTTAGGAAGCAGCACAAGCGATTGCATTCTACAGAGGAACGAATGTTAGGTCCAAAGTTGTTGAAGAGGAATTACAGGCTTTAAGGACGTCTTTGAACCCAGTGTTGGATGGTAAATAAACAATATATTTCTTGGTATAAATAGCCTAAATTAAGATGTTTAATGATAAGATCACCCTTAACTTAGGGTAGGCTCCGAGCCCCTCGGTGGGGACGTATAGTGAGCTGATGATGAATGATAAGATAATGTGTTTCTAATCTAACAAATAACCAGTAAAAATAAAAATCAAGATGAATTTCTTATTTAAAGTTCTATTAACTCATAAGAATTCAGAAAACTGGTATTAATTTTGCGATTTTTATACAAAATATTACTTAAGTATGTTTAATATTCGTGTAAATACTTTATAGATGATGTTGCAACGCCAGAAGAAGAAAAATTAAACGCAGATCTTAAAGAAAGGCCAAAGGAGTCTGTGTGGAGTTTCCTAAGCAAGTACATTTAACATACTGTTTGTTCTAACACCGTCCCCTCTATCTAACTATTCTGGGATTTTGAAAGCACTTTTCCATTACAATTTCTAGTTAGAATTTTACGTTTCTCTGTTTATACAAGTACTAGCTGTGGCCCGCACCTCCGTCGACGCGAATTAACAAAAAAAATGAAGCCTATGTATTCTTTAGACTATGTTCTGCATGTGTGCCAAATTTCATTCAGATCCGTTAATCCGTTATGGAGATATCTTCAAACAAACATCCATCCAAACATTCGCATTTATAATATTAGTAAGATAACTAATAGGAGGAATATATTTTTCGCGTATTTGCTAGTTTTTTTTTGTTTGCGTGAAAATTAAATTAAGACATGCCTTAACGATTGAACTCACGTTTACTAGTTAGGTGTTCGATCCTTATTCTTCCGTCTTTTATCATGGGAGCTGACAGTCGACAAATGACAGCGGATTCTTAGCGATGGCACAACCTACTTAGGCCTTTCAGTTTTTCTTCCCATTAGATAAGATTTGACTTGAGGGCCTTTACGAATAGCCAATAAAACATTAACTAACCTAGCTCGTACAATCTTATGACCTCATCACTTAACAAGTCAAGGGATGACTTTATCAATATAGAAAAAATCAACTTACGTCTTTGTTTTGTCTATAGAGAAGTCCCGGTCAACACGTCGTGCGTTGTTTGTGCTAATAGTTCTGTACACGACGTCCATCTTCCAAGGTCTAATGGTGGTACAGGTGTACGCAGAGCCGTTGTTCGCGGAAGCCATACCGACCATGTCACCGACGATTTGCAGCGTCATCTTCGCTGTTGTTATGGTGGTTGCCGGATTTATTGCCGCTTATCTGGTTGAAACGGCTGGAAGACGGGTAAGATATGCCTCGTAAAGTGGAACCACCAAAAGAAAGCAAACGATTGCCTTGTTTATTGTCAATCGCTATTTGACTGTGAGAGGACGTAGACGTCTCTTACGCACCTGTCCCTTTCAAACCTAACATATCGATTTTAATCAAAGACAAACTACACACTCGTAAAAAGTAAAATCGGTATATTCAGTTCAAATCTGATGTAATTTACACACTTCTAGTGTAACTACAGAGCATCGCTGGCTCAAGAATTTGACTTGTAATCTGCAGGTCTTGGGTTCGAATCCCGCCATGTACCAATATGTTTTTAAATTTTCAATTACATATGTATTATATACGACGTTGTTACGGTCAAGGAAAACATCACGATGCAACTTGCACATATCTACAAAGACCAAAGATTTGTTCGAAGTCAGCCTTAACTGTGAGCTAGTGTGGTTGACTATGGCCTAATAACGTCTAATTTATGGTGAACTCCGAGCTCCTTAGTGGAGACTGAGCTGAAGTAAGCTGATGATGATAGTGTAAATACTAATATATTTTTTAATTACCTTTTTTTGCAGTCACTGATGCTGTACGCGACATTCGGCTCTGGTATCTGCTGCATTTTACTAGGAACACAGATTCACTTGCACTGGGGTCCGCATTGGTTGACTGCGTGCATAATATATTTGTACGGTGTGGTGTATTCCTGCGGTGCTGGTACTGTGCCTTTTGTGATGAGCGCCGAGATATTTCTACCGGAGGTTAGTTGTATATAACGTATGATAATAAAAAAAAAACTAGCAAGTAGCCTATGTTCTACAACTATTACTTTCAGCGCGATCAGTGGAGCCGTTCTGGCGATACTTTCTAACATACATCCATTTCGAAGTGCTGTCATTTTTGTGTTTTCTTTCCCTTTGTTTACAGTGCAGTATTTTTGGAAACAATTAACTTTAGAAAACGTATTGCTAACAATGATATTATGACAAAAAAATTTAATGTCCCCGATTAACTTAAAATGTACTTAACTAAACTTACACACTATTTTACCAATAGATAGCTATTTTAACTACAATGGGTTTCCGAGACTAAAATCCCCATTTAAAACATATTATCTCTTTTGGCAATGATAATGACAGAGATGATGATATGTTTCATACGGAGATTTTGATATCAGAAACCAACGCTAACATAAGCTAACATCATTAGCTCACTAAGTCCCCACTGAGCGGCTCTGAGTCTGCGCAAAGTTAGGGGTGACTACTAGGGTCGACCACGCTGGCCAAGTGCGGGCTGCCTTCACACATATCTTTGGTCTTTACAGATATGTACATGTGCAGGTTGCATCACGATGTTTGCCTTCACCGTAAGAACGTCAGATAAATGTACATACGTAAATCGAAAAACACATTGTGCCATGACGGAATTCGAACCCAGAACCTGCAGATTACAAATCAAGAGCCAAACCCCTGAGCCACCGACGCTCTTCGCTATATTTTCATAAAATCTGGGGTATTTCGCTAGTGACGTGATAAGAACTAACCTGTTTTCAGATCCGGAGTTTTGCATCAATGATATCAGTGGAATGGTCTATCATATGCGGCTTTGTCGTCTTATTTCTCTTCAATCCAATAGTAACATGGATAGGACTGGGTCCTATCTTCTACTTCTTTTCTGTCGTATGCTTTATTTCTACAATCTTCTGTTATTTCTGTCTACCAGAGACAAAAGGATTGAGTGTGGAAGCTATACAATTATTATTTGCAAAACCTAAACGACGTAACATGACGCCTTAGTTACGTTAATTAATAAAATTTGTAAGCAATTGTTGGTTTTATTAGCTGTCGCCTGTGACTACGGCCGGAATTAAAAACTTAATTATTGGACTATGTGTTCTTCCAGACTATGTTCTACATCTATGCCAAATTTCATCGAGATCCATGGAGACGTTTTGTAGATACTTCCTAAAAAACATCCATCCATCCAAAAATTCAATTACGAATCCATCCCTTACGAAAATTATAGGCGAAGTTAAAAAGCAGTTAAAAAATAATAAGGAAGTGTGCTATAAAAAATCCCAAAAAATTGATAGAAAATTTTATTTTACATATAAAAGTGTAATAATTTTTTTTTTATTAAATTAAATATAACTAGTGTTTTCTTACTACTCAAATCGCAAACTGTTACATTACTAGCTGTCGCCTGCGACTCCATCTACTTATTAAAAAAAAAACTCAAATTAGTAGTCTATGTGTTCTTCCAGACTATGTTCTATATCTATGCCAAATTTCATCGAGATTCGTTTGTCCATTCCGGAGATATCTTCTAACAAACATCCATCTAAAATTTCGTATTTATAATACTAGTAAGATAATATTCAATCATTCGGTCTTTTAGTGAATGTAGTTCAGTCTAGAACATTTCGTCTTCACTCTCCATTGCTACAGATTTTAGTCCGCCATCTTTTTTCTTCGTTCTAATCCTGTAAAAACAAGAATAATATTCGATCTTCTTTAAATTTTTTTTATTTCATAAGGTGGCAAACGAGCGAGCGGCCACCTGAAATCGCTGAAATAGCGAAGTGACCGTTGCCTATAGACATACGCAATTGCATATGCGTTGTCTACCTTTTATCGACGGAGGAGAGGATGCACAGAAAGAAAATATCTTTCCTTTCCATGCATCCTCTCATCCGGAAAGTCCACTTCCACTTCCCATCCTTTCCTTATAAGAAAAAGGGTGGGAAGTGAATGTTGTTTTTTTTGTATGTTACCACGTAACTCCGCCCTTGGTGCTCCGATTTCGAACATTTTTTTTGATCGTAAGGTTTTGCCTTCAGGAGGTTCCCATTTTTTTTTAACTACTCGACTATTACGGTACGAGTAGTTGTCGCAAAAATTGTTTTATAGGATAAACTAGATAGTTCACCTGATGTTAAGTGACCACATAAGTAAAAGCGGGCCGCGACGTCCCTATCGTGACACACGGTAACTTGACATCGCGATGTAATAGACTACTAACGCCATCTATGATTTATTAAGTGAACTACACTTTAATTTGCTTATTTTTATTTTATAACTATTTACTTTTAAATACTTTAAAACATTTTAAATAAGTTGAAATATATTTTTGAAAGTAATAGCGATCGCCCGCAACTCAGTCCGAGCGGAATTTAAAAAAAACGTAATAAGTAGTCTATTTATTCTTCCAGACTATGTTTGCCAAATTTCATCGAAATCCGTTCAGCCGTTATGGAGATAACTTCAAACAAACATCCATCTAAACATTCGTAATTATAACATTATAGTAAGTAAGTATATTAAAAAAGTAAGAATTAGTAAGATATATTTTAAATGCAAATTTAAATTAATTTAACGGGGATTACTTACATATACAACCGAACTTGGCGCGCGTACCAACTTATAAGCGAGAATCCAAGAAAGTGCGATATTATTATTATAAAATGGCAAACGAGCTGACATCCGAAATCGCTGAAATAGCGATCAACCGTTGCCCATAGACATACGCAATTACAGATGTGTGTTGCCTACCTTTAATCCACGGAGGGGATGCACAGAAAGGGAACACTTTCTCTTCCCATGCATCGTGTGATCTGGAAAATCCACTTTTACTTCCCATCCTTTCCTTATATAAGAAAAAGGGTGGGAAGGGAAAGAGGACTAAAATTAGGCCTCCGGGACGCAGACTGGTCAGACTGCACGCGGAATTGCTTCCACTTGACGTTTCTCTTCTGAGTGGTCGTGGTATTTCACCGGGCGAGGCCAATTCGTGCGAAGTTAAAGCGGGCTCTACCACTGTTATGTTATTCAGGTTCGCCTGTACTAGTTAGCCGTAGTAACGGACGTATAAAATGTTCTACAAACCGTTTTGGGTATGGTTGCTTCAGATGTATGGTCCTATAATGTAACTTCATACTGTTGTTCTGTGTAAAACGTTTCTCACAAAGCGGACATTCGTAAGGTTTCTCTCCAGTATGAGTCTAGAACAAAGAAAATATAATTTTACTTACATATAGATGTTTCTTGACAATATACAAAAATATAAAATTTTACTGATTTATTTTTCTTCTTAGTCTTTTGGCTAGTCAATCTGACCGTATTGCGCAGTGTCCTTCATCATTTAACATTGTGTAAGCGCAGCGATTCAAACGATGTTCCGACACGCCAAGATATTTGAAAATTACTATACACAATGATTGTTTAAAAAGCTCATTTTTGAAAAATAATTAATAAACGAATTAAAAATTTGAAATCTAATCGATATTTATAACTGAGCAATACAAATTTTGTTACGAGAAAAGTGGGATTCAAAAAAAAATTTTTTAAGTATAAATAAGCGCCATCTAGCGGAAGATAGAATAATCAAATGTTTTAGAAACTGACCACGCGATGTCGCTTTAACCCAGCAGTGGAGTAAAACTGTCGGCCACATGTCTCGCAGTTGTAAATTTTCTCTCTCGTATGCAAATTCTGATGCATCGCTATACTGCCCGGCTGGAATATTACATATAAAGCAACAGTAATACATTTTTAACTAAAATAAACTGATTTTACACAAAATACGAATAAAATAAATAAACAAATTAATAAAAAAAATTACAGTTTATGGTAGTAAAGGTTACTTAGTCATAAAAATCTATAGATATTTATAAAATTGGATCTAATAATTGGAATAAATATCTAATTTCGTACTATTGATGTATTTTTATTTATTTATTTGAGTTTATGTTAATGAAAAACTTAAAAACTATTTGGTTTGTCTGTACATCTATCCGCAAGGCCATGTTTGTTCTGGATTACTGGAACTGCTGGACTGATTTTGATGGGACTTTGTCGGAAAGGTGGCTGATATATACGTAAATATTATAAGCTATTTATTTCAATTCTGCGCCAACGAGTACTGACAAATATCTAGTAATAAAACCATATAAAAAGGCTATCGAGAGCGATAAGACGCCGTATAAAAGCGCAATTGTGTTATTTTCATCAGTTACAGTTCAGAGTAAATATGTCTTACTAATCAACGTCTCTGAGTATACAATAAACTTAATACTCACAGCTAGAGAAGCTCCACATATTTCACAGATATGTCTCTCACTGGGTGGACAGAATGAGGTGCCTGGATGTTCCTTCTGATGATGATTCATACACTCCATTTGTGTTGAAAAATGTTTCCCACACTGGAATATACGAAAAATAAGTAAAAATTTATTTAAAAAAACTTATTTTAGTTGTAATGTGACCAACGAAGTGTACAAATTGCATGGAATCAAGTCTGTTAATTTCTTTGTTTGTTATAATAATACTAGCAGTCACCCGCGACTACGACCGCGTAGATTAAACAATTAATTAGTAGTATATGTGTTCTTCTAGATTATACTATATGTATGCCAAATTACATGGAGATCCGTTCAGCCATTCTGGTGATACCTTCAAGCAAACATCCATCCATGCATCAACGCTTTCGTATTCATAATATTATTAAGATTATTTTTATTATTTTAGAAGATATTAAATTGATCAATATATACGACAAAGTTGAACTAAAAACTTTAATACATCTCGTTGAGTATACAATAATTACTTGATAGGAAATATTTACTTGATAGCAGTCCATAGGTTTTCTTCGTCTAGTGAAAGTGAATCTTAGCCGTTTCGAGCGTCGCTTCGGAGCCGGCACTTCTTCGTCGTCCTCTTTCCTGATTAAACATATAATAATTAAACGAAAACAATGATTGTTAGTTTTTTTTAATTATATAGTCGAACCTGGATAAGGAAGATTCCAAAGCACTGTAACATTTTTCTCCTTTATAGAATCTCGCTTATGAAGATCGTCCATCGTGACCGGACTTCACGCTTATAAAGGTACGCTAACAGTACGAGGTAGCTAAGAACACATCACACAAGAGTCGATGGATGGATTATGGACGACCGTTAGTTATTGATAACTACGCCCTTCTAGGCTAGATATAGACTAGAAAAAATATTTAACAACGCCATCTATATTAAATATTGTGTAACTCACTCGACATCCGCGTGCAGTGCTGATGATTGCAGATGTTCTGCGAACGCGCCGGATGATTCAAAGTTAATCTGACATCTCTCACAGAATGTGTTGTCACTTTCAGCACTGTCGGGACGTTCCTGAAATATTTTATATAGACAAGTAAATAACGATTATTTATACATATATGTTTTAATTTAAAACTATCTTACTAATATTATAAATGCGTCTGTTTAGATGGATGTTTGTTTGAAAGTATTTCTAGAAAGGCTGAACGGATCTCGATTAAATTTGTCATACATATAGAACATAGTCGGGAAGAACACATAGGCTACTTATTATGTTTTTTTTATTCCGCGCGAACAGAGTCGCGGGCGACAGCAAGTTTTTAATAAAATTTAGTAAAAGTTGGCAACAGATGGCGCTGTACTCTTAATTATAATACTTATATTATAAATGCGAAAGTTTAAATGTATAGCTGTATTTTAGTTCATATCCCCAAAATGATTCAACAGATCTCTAAAAAATTTGGTATAGATGTAGAAAATAGTCTGGAAGAACACATAGGCTACTAAGTTTTTTAATACTGCGCTGACAGTCGTATAGATAGTATATATGCGCGTGCACAACTCACCTCTCTACCGACATGTGTAACACGCTTATGCTGATGTAGACCAGCAGCACTGACAAAGGAAGCTCCACACAGCGCGCAAACATGCCGGCTGCGATGTGTACGCAAATGCGTATAATATGTCGACATATGCCTGTAATAGAACAAAAAAATTATGCAGATAAAACTTTGTAGAAGTGTGTAGAATAGGGCGAGGGCAACCGCCCAGGGCGACCTAATCGCCCCCAGTCCAAGATAAAAGGGCGTGCCCCTAAGATATCTATGAATAATTTCCACCGACAGACAAATTAAAACCAGCCCCTAAGACTATATTTGACATTTTTTTTGAATCATAAAGTGACAAAATATGTCAGAAATATTTTGGAAGGGAAAAATGAGTAAAATAAGTCCTCCGGTACACACTCATCAGACTGTACTTGGAATTCGTACTTGAGGTGTGTCTTCTGCGTGGTATTGCACCGAGGTAGGCCCAAAGTGCAACAGATTCATCACTGTTAGTCATGTTATCATCATATTTTGTCCTTATTTTGTAGAATTTGTCATAAAATGTTTACCTGAATTGTTCCCCACAATATTTGCAAGCTCGTGTTATCCCAGCATGTGTTTCTTCGTGCATTAGCGCTGTTGTTCTACAAAATATAATAAATAAAATAAAAGTAAGTTTATTTTTATTTTAGCACACTAATTTAAAAAAATACAATGGCATGTAGATAAATAAACTACATAGATCTAATATTATAAATGCGAATGATAACATGGATGTTTGTTTGAAGATATCTCCAGAATAGATCTTGATGAAATTAGGCACAGATGTAGAACATAGTGTGTAAGAACGCATAGACTACTAATTGAGTTTTTTTAATTCCGCGCGGACAGTCACGGGCGACAACTAGTATACCATAAAAGAACAAACATGACAAAAGACACAAGGATATTAACAAAAGCTAGTGAGGTATTGTAATTAAGTTCCAGATGAAATTTTGTAGAAATGGGTAGGAAATTAATGTCCTCGACTATATAAAACCTTACGAAGGTTAAAAAATACTCACTCTATTGCAACAACGAGGTTGCAGACTAAACATTCGTACTTAGTATAATGTGTACGTATGTGTTTGCGCAAATGACACTCCAATCTGAATCGGGAATGGCAGAAACGGCACTCAAATGGACCTATGGACTGTTATAAAAATTATATATTAATTTATTAAAAATAACTTCGTCAGTGGCTCAGAGGTCAAGCACTTGACTTGCAATCTGCAGGTCCTGGGTTCAAATCCCGCCATGTACTAATGTGTTTTTCGATTTACATATGTATATTTATCCGACGTTCTTACGGTGAAGGAAAACATCGTGATGCTGCACATATCTGAGAAGAAATTCAAAGATATGTGTGAAGTCAACCCGCACTTGGTCAGCGTGGTTGAGCTAGTCACCCTTAACTTAGGGTAGGCTCCGAGCCCCTCCGTGGGGATGTAGTGAGCTGATGATGAAAAATAATCTTATTAACAACCAATTTAAAGATCACATAATCTTTTTTGTAGCACAACATAGGCATTAGCTTAAGTCAGTGTTTCTCAAAGTGTGCTCTTTAGACCCTTGGGGCTCTGTGAAAACTCTTTATACAGTCCATGGAGATAGGTAATAACCAAAATTAAAAAAAATACTATGGCTCCATTGAAAAAAAGTTAGAAAAGAATAATTAAATCCAAATTCTATGCTTCCGTCAAATATTCTCACTTACATAAATCAACCAGCTTTTTATTTCGCCTAAATAGCGAAACGACCTCTGCTCATAGACATACACATTTGCAGATGCATTGCCTGACATTAATAGTCAGAGAGGATGCACAGTGGGATATTTCCCGTTCCCAACTATTATTAAACAGTTAAATATGGATAATAGAGTTCAAGAGTCCACAGTCTTTTTCTTTTTATAGAGATTTCTCTGTAACCCAAAATTTGGTACTTCGGACCAGATGACTAATTTCTAGAGGTTTCTCGTATATCCAGGTATAACTGTATTGTAAATATGAAAAAGTTCTTACCGGATTATGTCTTAATTTGAAATGACGCAACATGATATCTTCTTTGGAGAAAAACTTGTAGCAATCTTTACAATGATATGTTGCCTGTACGTACTTTGGATCAATAGCTCTCTTCTCAAAGTCTCTGATTGCCTCTTCTTCGTTTAGACTTATCTTCCTCCATTTATTTGAATCTAGATATCTTCTCCGTCTTGTTGTGAACTTATAATTCTTCTGTGTAATTACTTCTTTCTTTCTTTTTCTAAGACATCTATCTTTTGTTTCTTCTGTTGTTTCCGTATCTTTTTTAATATCAGTTTCTTCAGTATTTTTCTCTATTTCAGGACATTCAATTTTAAATATATCAGTCTTTAATCCATCATCTTTAATGAAAACTTCAGTAACATCTGGTTTTGGAAAGAAATCAGAGTCACTTGAGGACTCTAGAGGTGATGGGACATCGGAACGTGGAGAATCTTCATTCTTTATATTAACATCATTCAAATCATCATCTAATTCATTACTATCGCTGTTATAATTTTTTTCGTCACTTTTTTTGTCTTTAAATTTATTTTTCTTAATTATCTCACCTGGCATTTCATTAAAAAGGTAAGTTTTAACTCTTTTATTAACTGTTGCTATAGACATATTTGTGTAGATTTCTTTGTTGTTTGTTTTTATACTATTTATAGCTTGATATGTTATCTGTAATAAAATTCATATTAGATATTCTACAAAAGCAGTTGAAAACTTTTGTTTGTGTGGATTTTAAAAAAAACAATAGTAATAAATATAGTCTATGTCATACGAGGACAGTGTAGCCTCCTTACATATGTAAAATTACATTGTATTCAAGTAGTTGAATAGAAAACAGTAAACGGTTGAAACTTGGAAGGTCAACAGTTGATTCAACTAGTTTGTTGAACACCCGTCCCTATAGTGTGGTATCTTACTGTTTATAACTATTATTCAAATGTAATTGTTGTCTCTACTTTTAAGGAGAATGATAAGGATAGTAATATTGTCATAATAGAGGTATTACAACAGTGGAAATTTACTTTTAAATTACATCTAAAATTTACAAATACTTACCGGTTGTTTTACAAGTAAAGACTTTAGCTTTCTCTGGCTGTAATGGCACTTCTCTTTGAATTTGTGAAACTTGTGAAGTAGCATTGAACATTCGTAGCAGAAAAATTGTGGTATATGATCCATCTTGATAATCTGTATACAAACTAATTGTGAAAAAGTATATAAAACTTTTACCGATAAACCGAAAAGTTGTCGAAAAAGCTGAATTTTGCTGTACTTTTTTCACGCAATATTTTATACGCTAAATAAATAATCGTATCGTATCGCTCACACATTTTTATTCTCACGGAATTCGTTACAAAATGAGTTTGAATTCAACTTTACTTACTTTTAGTGCAGTAACATTTTCGTAGTATATATTTAATTGAAATTGTTCGCTTTCGTACACTTTACCCCCAATTCGAAGACAGATTCGACAAACTTTAAGGTCTGCCATGTTCCGTTGGACTTTTAATTAATCTTAATATGCGTAAAATTTCGTGTTTATTTTAACAAATTAAAAACATAAAACTTGATTGATACTTATTACCCAGTTTGATGCTATTAATATGTCAATGTCAGTCAGTGTCATTGTCATAATGGCCGGTTAAGCCGTGAGTTTCTCATTACGCAGAATTACAGACTTAGAATTGCAAAAAATAATATTAATTGAAAACTTCCGGGCCTATGCTATCGACGTTTAAGTAAATTTTCATAGCTCGATAAGTCCTCTTTCGACCTTTACCAATATTAAAAGAGTGGAAAGGGAGAGAGAATAGAATTGAGCTTCAGGCACTTCACTCACTTGGACTCGTCCATTTGTCGTTAGATTTGGAGGCTTTATAAATCATAGTTCCGGAATTTATATCATAATTATACCTTCCTGTATAATAGTAATAAAAAAAAAAAGTAATAATACAAAAACATTTATTTTTCTTTGGAATACAATAAAACATAACCCATTCATTCTCATCTGGTTTTAATAATTCATGTCTCCCATGGTTATTAACACTAAATAAACTTAACTAAGTTTAAACTAATTTGTACTAATCAATCTCAACTTTGTTACATAATATTTGCCAAAAGATAATCCAAGTTGGGAATAGTATACATGTACCAACATTATATAACCAATTGCCATAAATCTGAAAAAAAAACCATACTTTATAGATCTTGAAAAGTATTAAAAAATAGAAAAATAAATAATATACTTATAAAACATCACAATAATCAGAGATGTATTTCATTGCTTTTCTGCTTACAACAAAAAATAAATATTGAGATTAAGAAAAAAGGAGTTTGAATTTTGTTGTGAGGAATTTTCTTTTGTCATTAACTTTTCCTAAAATTAAAAAAAATACCTACCATAGAGTCAACTATAGAGAACATGACAGCTTGCATGGCCGCATCCTTTCCGCGGGAAATCATTGTGCCTAAACCCTCTTCGGGGAACAACACATGACTGTAACTAATCATGGCCAGAGACAAAAAGCACAACGGATGAAGTAAAAGACACATAATTCGCTTCATTTGAAGAATTATTGACCTGAAAATAAAATGTATGAAAATTTTACCTAATTTGAATATATGGAAATACTTGATTCAAATTAGTATAATAATATTATAAAAATGGGTTTTATTAATGGGAATATTTCTTTTAACTCTAGTCTTTTTTCTAACTGGACATGTACGTAAAGGTGTAGAAGTTTTTTTATTCTATGGATTGAAACAGTCTGGAGTTACTCACCTTGTTCTTTTATTGTCTATAACACCCACAACCAGAGACAATGGGGTATAAACAGTTGCCACCACAAGTCCTAGAGAGAAATTATGCATACCAATAGCTAGGCAAGCTGTAGACAATTCAATTAGTACTAATATATTCATTATTGTCATTTCTTCTCGTGTCAATGGACCTGATCTGAACAGTCGGGGTAGGAATGGTGATATTATGACTATAACCACTGATACTGCTATAAAACCACAGTATACGGAAAACTCTGATGGATATTCGAAGTATTTTGCACCTGGAAATGCAAATATATGACACTATGCAAAGTTAAAGGCAGCCAAGAAAATAATTTTAAAAGTAAAAAAAATATTTATAACGAATGACATCCATAAATGGACTGGCTATAAGGCGCAGTATTTTGTGCCTATTTGAATTCCGCCATTTTGGCGCTGATGGTTTGTGACGGTGGTGTGAATTCGAATTAATATTATAGATACAAATAACTACCATATTACTTCAACAAGCGCAAACGAAAAGCGGGAACAAAATATAAGCATTAATTTCCAAGTAATTGCCTATCCATTTATAGAGATCTTAATTACATATTATTTTTATTTTTTACTTTTTTTATATGAACTGTCTTAAATTATTTTTATACGTACCAATTTGACTGAAAATAACAGGTGAATTCATCACAATATATCCCAATAAATGAACCAAAAGGTAATTAGCTCCCATATTGACTACACTAAATCCATCACCAACATCATCAATATCTTTTGATATTAAATCTTCTTTTTCATCATCTTTTTCCAATTTCCCATCACTCTCTAATTCATCTTTTACTTCTTCAGACACTTTATCTTTGGATATCTTATGTTTTTCTGTTTCTTCAGCAGAATTATCTTTTTTAGCTTTATCTTTTAGAGTATCATTTTGTGTGTCTTTTTCATCGTCCTGTATATTAACCCATAATGATAATGCACGTATTAACATCGCTGCACAAAGTAAGCAGAGGGACGGCATATATTGTCCTAAAATGATTTTAAAAAGGATGAATTACATCTAAAATTAGAACATTAGAACAGTAATTTAAAAGAAAATGATCTTACAATTTGGTATTTTTGCGTGCATAGCGAAAATTACAAGTAGGAACGTAAATGACTGAATTTGTGAATGATTTACAGTGGGTTTCTGAGACTACAAACTACGTTTAAAACATATTGTTTTCTCTTTTTTGTCAAAGATAATGACAGGGATAAGGATATGTTTTATAGAGATTTAGGTCTCAGAAACCAATGGCAAATAATTTTCTAAATGAATCTAAATAACTTTATTACTGGCTGTAGCCCGCGACTCCTTTTGCGCGTAATTGAATAAAAATAATTAGTAGTCTGTGTTCTTCCATGTTCTACATATAAGTCAAATTTCAGCGAGATCCAAGCTGCCTGTCAACCTTTCAAAAAATCCATCCATCCATACATTCGCATTTATATTAGTAAAATACACTCACCGATAGAAATAAATCTATTAGTAGAAGCCAAAAGATAAAAGAAATAACTCTGATGGAATCTTTCGAGCAAATTATTCAGTGACCGTAGAATACTTTCTAAAGCTGTGCCGAGCTTGTAAAAACTTGCAGTAGGTAAAGAGTTGACTTTCGGTGGTATACCAGCTGGATCGTTTGCGTCTCTACCTTCCAAGGTCACAGCTTCGATTCCAAAACGATGAAATAATCCGTGATTACCATTTGGTACCTAAAAAAAATTGACAATATACCTCATATACTCTAAATCCAATGGCAAGCACCTGGCATTTAAGTAGTTCGTAATTTTTTCTACACAAAAAACTTTAATAGTGGTAAAAAAAAAAACTAAATTAGTAGCCTATGTGTTCTCGATTGCTTTCTACCAAATTTGTACAAAATCCGTTGAGCTGCTCCGAAGAGACTTTCTAAAAAATTTCATCAAGATCTGTTGAGCTGTTCCAGACATACCTTCAAACAAACATCCACCATCCATCTAAACATTCGCATTTATAATATTAGTTAAAGTTAAGAAGCATACAATTGTATGAATGTTTAATATTTAAAAATTGTTCCAAACCTTATCCAACATAAGTAAATAATAGTGTTATACATGAAATTTCTGATTTTCAAGACAATGTTTTCTAATGTTATGAAAAAAAAAATTAAAATGGGTTTTTATCTTACCCCAGGAAATTGTGTATTCACCATACCAAGCATGGTCCAAATACCATTCAACCATTCGTCCATCTTGTTACGTCGTATCCATGAATAACTGATAGAAACAAACATTTAAACAATTTTAACAGTGAATTTGTAGTTCCAAAAAATATATAATTGGATTTTTTTTTATATCATAAGGTGGCAAACGAGCGAGCGACCACCTGAAATCGCTGATATAGCGAAGTGACCGTTGCCCATAGACATACGCATTTGCATATGCGTTGCCTACCTTTAATCGACGGAGGAGATGATGCACAGAAAGAAAATATCTTACCTTCCCATGCATCCTCTCATCCGGAAAGTCCACTTCCACTTCCCATCCTTTCCTTATAAGAAAAAAAGTGGGAAGGGAAAGAGGACTAAATTAGTCCTCCGGCACGCACTCAACAGACGAATCGTGGATTGACTTCCATTTGAGGCGTGTTTGATGTCTACTGTCTTCTGTGTGTCCTTTTCTGGGCTAGCTCATTCGTGCTACAGATGTTGTTGTCGTCTACCACTGAATGCAATGAATGTTACAGTGGTAGAGTGAGCTTTAACATCTTCGCACGAATTGTCCCGGCTCGCCCGGTGAAATACCACGACCACACAGAAGACAGGCGTCAAGTGGAAGTCAATCCACGTTTCGTCTGATGAGTGCGTGCCGGAGGACTAATTTTAATCCTCTTTCCTTCCAAACCTTTTAATATAATAAAAGGATGGTAAAGGCAAGTGAATTTAACAGATGAAGAGACATAGGAGAGGGATATATCCTCTTTCAGTGTGTCTCCTCCTTCGTCGAATAAAGATAAACATTGCATCTGCAATTCGACGATAAAAGCTTGCAAACAATTTCATTTCTCTCATTCTCTTAAAAAAATTGCGTGATATTGTCTCTGTCTTTTCAAAGACAATGAGAGAGATGGCATTATATTTATAAGTTTACTACAATAGAAAGAATTATTGTACTTACCTATTCTTGTAAGAGTGATGTATTCCCGACTTCACACATAGTTTATGAACTAAGTTTACAAGATCGAGATTAGGTAGTTGTCCGTTTAATCCTTCGATTTTCACCTCTATGTACTCTGCGAATAAATACCATTTTTCTTTAACACCAAGATATTAGATTATCAAGGTTAGACTTTCGTCTCTAACTGAAATACTCAGAATCGGTTCTCTGGTAAACAGCCCTTAGTGTAGTTTTCTCATACTATAACCAAAAACGTTACAGTTTGGTAGTAATTAATTATTTGCAATATGTAAGAATAACATTAAATGTGGGTTTCGGAAACCAAAATTTCCATTTAAAACATATTGTTATCTCTGTGTTGTCAAAAATGACAAGGATAAAGAAAAGTTTTATGAAGAGAACTCTCAGAAACTCTCGGTAAATAAATGATTGTAATAAAAAATAATTACTAATAACTAAACTTACTAATTTTTGGTGAATCAAATTCCAAATTAATAGCCGCCTGTATAGATCCAGATCTGCCTTGCAATTTGCCTGGATTAAGACTTTGTGCATCTTCACCCCAATCTATAGGTGAAGTAAACTTAGCAAGATCCAACATGGGAAGATCGGGTCTCCAGAAACTTCCTAGACTAGTGTAGAAGTTTCCGGGTTCATTGTCAAGTCCATAATAAGCTTCGAGCCATGCCTGCATTCCAAGCTGTTCATATTCAGTGATGAGAAAAATTATATCTTTGGCCCAATATTTTTGAGCTGAAACAATTTTGTATATATCATCAGGATAGATCCCCACTGAGGGGATTGGAGCCTAACTTGAATCAGTGACTTGGCCATAATCAACCAAGCTTCCCAGCGCAGATTGACTTCACATACATTTGAATTTATTTTAACAGTGGTAGAGCCCGCTTTAACAGCTTCACACGAATTGGCCCAGCTCGCCTGGTGAAAAACCACGACCACACAGAAGACAGGCGTGAAGTGTAAGCAATTCCGCGTTTCGTCTGATGAGTGTGCGTCCCGGAGGCCTAATTTAGTCCTCTTTCCCTTCCCACCCTTTTTCTTATAAGGAAAGGATGGGAAGTGAAAGTGGACTTACTGGGTGAAAAGCTGCATGGAAATGTTTTCTTTCTGTGCATCCTCTCCTCCGTCGATTAAAGGTAGGGCAACGCCTATGCAGTTGCGTATGTCTATGGGCGACGGTCACTTCGCTGTTTCAGCGATTTCAGGTGGCCGCACGGTCGTTTGCCACCTTATGATATAAAAAAAATTTAAGAACGTCGGATAAATGTACATACTGAAAAACACGGTACATGGTGCAAATGGAACCTAGCACCTGCAGATTACAAGTCGATTACTTAACTCTTCAGATGTTCAATATAATATTTTCAATGTTCCAATTTAAAAATAACCTTTTCACCATAGGAAATAAGCAAATTTTACTCACACACACTCTAAATGTCTTTATAATTATTTAACCATATCATAAATCACTTTTTTCATATTCATTTAAATAAAAAAAAAATACCGTTACGTTTCCATGTATGAAATTTGATGTTCCCTTGTTTACATGAAATGGACATTCATTTGATTTAATATATTGTTAAAGGTAAAACTTACGTCTGGCAAACTGAGCGAATGCTAACATCAGAGCAATACCCGCTGCGGTTCCCTTCTGATGTGTGGATATATATCGGAATGGAGCCGATACTACCAATGCTTCCAAAGATGGTGTTCTTGCAGCTCTGAGTATACCATAGACATTTGTACCTTTGTACACCTGAAGAGAAAATGTTTTGTAATAAAAATTTTCAGATTTCAATGGTTCCTATGTAAATAGTTATAACCTAGAATTATGCCTTTTTTGCATTGTCTAATGTTTTAAAAATCTTATATATAAAATTCTCGTCTCACAATTTTCGTGCCCATACTCCTCTGAAACGCCTTGACCAATTTTCATGAAATTTTGTGAGCATATTGAGTAGGTCTGAGAATTGGCCAACATCTATTTTTTAATCCGGCGCAGAGGAAGTCGCGGGCGACAGCTAGTAATTTATAAATTTTTAATCTTGTTATTTATTTATATTCAATAAGTATAAGTTTTTTTGTATTTTGACTGTAGAAAATACAATTAAAAGCAACATTTGCTAGACTTAGGTTACTTTTAGTAACAGTATCATTGTTATAATGGCTATAGTTGTTCTGAGAATTTGTGTAACACACATATTAATATTTATTAAGGAGCAAGATCAGAATATTAATTAAAATTATTTAATGTTACCTGGCCCTGTCCCATCGGATAATTGAGAGTGAAATTGTGAGTGTAGACTTCCAAATGCAACTGAGACATCTTACCCACTAACCAGGATACAGGCATTTCACCTGTTTCTTCATACTTTCCCTGGAACATTAGAGAAAAACAGATATTCACCATAGCAAAGAAATCAGCCAGATGATAACTTCAAGTTCTGCCAAATAAATTTACTGAACTTATTGTTTAATAACACTTATAATATAGTACAAACCTCCATTTCTTGCAAAAGTTCACTATAGAACCTATTAGCACTGGATTCAGCATTAAACTCCTTGGCAACTAAACCCGGCAGTAAAGCATTCTCTGAGAAGTACGTCTCATTGTTAAAATCCCTGTTTCCAAGCATCAGAAACCATCCAATTGCTCCAATATAAAACAGAAAACATAGCGGCCCTTGAATTTTTCGAAGGATCTTAACCCATTTCGCCGACCCGTACTCCGGGTCTGATAGTAAACCCATGTTAACTAAGATAACGTCACGAATATGTTAGTAATATTGTATTTTTACAGCATTATTGATAATGCATAAAATTTCTGTTCAATTAATAAATATTAAGGGAAACAAAAATATAACGTTGATCAAGTGAGAGTTGAGTTGACAGTTGACATATGCGTTCCAAATCGAAATTGGTAAAGTTTGAGGCAATGGCTATTTTGATTATAATTTATGTAATGTATCATAACATCCATTTTGAAGAAGATAGTAGAACTTAAATTATACTAAACCATATTGTAAGTTACTTCTAATTCAAGTTAGTTATTGCTAAGCAAATTTCCAAACGAAACGCAATTTGTATAATATAATAAGACTGGTTAGATCTCATCGGTATATTTATGGATCGTTTCGCATCGATGATGCCATCGGCGGCGCTGGCCTGGACTGACGTAGCGCTCGCGGGACGCTCTGGTGAGGACGGAGTCGTTGATGCCTGAAGCGCGCCCTTGAAGCGAGCTCGCAGTCACAGCTTCGCCCAACTGCGACGGCGGCGGCATCGACACGGCAGGCTCAACGGCAGGAACGGGCTCGGCGCTGATGGTTGCCACAGGCACCGCGGACTTGGCTACTTCCACTGCAGCGCGGCCACTCGACTCCTTTCGTTGAGATGAAGACACTACCTGCTCTAATGACACTAATCTATTCAAAATTTGTTGCATTGTTTGGGTTAAAATATTGCTAGAAGGGCTACGTCGTCTGAAGCGTGAATCATATTGGCTAGAATGCGATCTGCGATTTCGCGACCGACTCCTACTCTGCCGCCTCTTATTAGGCATGTTTTCTTTTTTTTTAGCAAGTATTTAAAATTAGACGTAATTCCAAGCAGGGCATTCAAGTTACGGTAAATAATTAAAATTGAGCCATTCTAAAATTTACACAAAAAGCTAACAAATACAACTTCAATTTGTTATTTTAAAGCGGAGAAGAAAACAATTGGAACGTACTCACCAAAGTTGACATCATAAAACTTGATCACACCGTCACATCACGTCTTACTTACGTATATTATACGAAACACCGAAAACAAAGTGCTAATTTGTCCTTTTAAACAAGGGTAGTTACAATTTCCAAAAATATATTTCTGATCGTATGACTAGCCAATTAAAGAAATAACAATGGAAACACATCGTATCAGGATGTACAAACAAGGACATGGGAGTTTCACTATCCCACTTCTGATCTTAAGGATCAGAAGCAGGGAAAATTAAAAAAAACAATATACACTACTACAGTACTTTTTGAATTAATAAGAAAACTAACAGAATTGAATAAATGTAATTAACACTAAAATGATTTAAAAATACAACATTAACTTAATCAACTATCAGAGTTAAAATGATTAATTATTTTGGCTAGTCAAACGGGCAGAGCTTCCGCTGGCTTCAGTGTTCGGTGGCGAGTGTGTCCCGAAAATGAGGGTGCGGTCTCTTATATTGGCATCACTCCACCATTATTTTTAAGTTCCACCCTCAGCTAACAATATATTTAAAGTAGGAAGTTATTAAGTAGCCATTGTCAACTGAATTACTGTTTAACGCATAGTGTGCAATTTTTAATGTTTATTGATATTGTAAAAGCTTCTAATAACTTTTAATTTGATCTTACTTTATAAGTTACGTTTTTCCTAGACTAAATAACATAATTATCGTTATTTAAGTAACGACCAATCAGAGCAGAGCCAGGTGGGCTTGAGAGGGGTCGAGGCACCATCTTTAAATAAGGCGTTTCGACAGTTGTTACGAATACAGTCGTGAAGTGGAAACGGATCGAGTTGGATCGGAGTCATCGTGTTTTGTGCTTGCACTTTACCCTAAATGACGCCCAGCAAGTTCTCAACCACTATAGATGTCGTTGAGAAAAGTGTTTCTCCGATAATCAACGCAACACTTGCGCCAGCGCCGTGTGTCGGCGTTCGATGGGTCAACACCTTACCAGGCGAGGCACGGCAGCAGAACACTTCTCCTGTGGCTGCCGACTGGAACGGACATTGAACCATCGTGAAAAGTGCACCATGAACCCTTCTGCACGGAGGGAGGCCGCCCTCGGCGGGCAATGGAGTTCCCCGCATCCATTACCGCCGCCGCCTCCGCCGCCGCCTCCGCCGCCGCCTCCGCCGCCGCCTCCGCCGCCGCCTCCGCCTCCGCCGCCGCCGCCTCCGCCGCCGCCTCCGCCGCCGCCTCCGCCGCCGCCTCCGCCGCCGCCGCCGCCGCCGCCGCCGCCGCCTCCGCCGCCGCCGGCGCCGCCTTTCATTTTTTATTGTTACATTTTTTAATTGTTTTAATGTTTTTTAACCTAGATGTAAGAAAAGAATGTGATATAATTGTAAGACTATGTAATTAATTTTTAAACACTTAAAATAAAGATATTCCCGCACCCCAAGTCCCTGACATAGCATAAGTTAGGGGAACGAACGTCGCCCGCAGCCCTGTCTGCGCCAGGGGGTCAGGGGGTTCGGGG